ACACACACATATATACATATACACACACCTGTATCAAAACATATTTTAACAGACTTCACAGCTCATTAAAGCTTCAGTTTACAGTCATTCATATGAAAGATTTCTAATAAGGAATGGTCACTTAGAAAGAATTCCTCACTGGGATTCCAGTGTTCTACATCAGAAATGCAGAAGTTCTTCTTCAGTGCAATGCTAGACATTTTACCTCTGTTCATTTATGGTTTTCTTTCAAGGTTTCCCAATTTTACTTCTGGATCTTCACTTTTGTATGCTTGACTTATTTCCTTTAGTATATTCTCAGGTAAGGCAGGTTGATATCTGTATAAATATCCATATGGACGAAGATGATAAACGAGGTATTCTAACTCATACATAGTTGTAGGATCAACATAGTGAAAAGAAATTGCAAGATCAGAACAGCAACCAGGACCCTAAAAAAGCAGTGGAGGCAGGCATTATTAATCAATAACACATTGTTAACATACAATATTTACATACTGATAAAGGAAACACTAATTTTAACAGAATCCAATAATGAAAGCTAGCAAGGTTTAAAGAGGCACCTACTTTATTAGGCCTGTGGAAGAATTAGAGTTCCTAATGATTTAAAACCAAACATGACTTTGCTAAGTATTTCTAACTGAAATAATATTCTCTCATACTCTAGTGTTTTAGCAGAAAAAAGTCTTGAGCCTTCTTTCAATGAAAGGGGCAGTTATACAGAGGCTAAAGTCTATTTCTTCAAATTTTGCTTTCTCTTCATAATTTTCTCACTATCAATTTTTACTTGGCTCAGCTTCAGAAAGACACCTTTGGAGCATTCAATGACTACAAAGTCTTCTTGCCCATTATGTGTCTGCAGCCTAACACTTTATCTATACAGCAATCCAAACAGGAAAGTATTTAAGAGAGGAAGTTCTCAGTCAAACCTAAATTTGAATCCAAATTTTGCCTACCAGTGTATGACACTGGGCAAGTTACTAGATCTCCATAAGCTTCAATTTCTTCATCTGCAAAAGATGATTACTTAGAGGAGATAATGTGTATAAAGTGCTTGGGACCATGCTTTGCCTATAGTAAACACTCAACAAATGTTAGCTATTATTGACATAATCACATTTAGATGGCCCTCAGTAAGTCAGAGTTAAACCTTTGTTCAGTTATATAAGTTTCATATATTACTAATACAGTTGGTATGAGAACAGATTTAAAATAAGACAAAAAAATCACAAAAATACAACAAACAGAAACTAAAAAGCATGAAAATAAAGGAAACAGAAAAAAAACTGGTCACAAGATTAAACAGTCACAAGGTTATTTTGGGATCAGAATTGGTATCTGGAGAATGTTTTACCCAATTGACTCCAAAAAAATTTAAGACTAATGTCTTTGCAAGGACCCAAGGAGAAAGATAGTCTGGCAAGTTCAAAGAGAGGTTCATACTGACTATTAAATTGAACATTTAATAATTCATGTTTGGAAGTATGTAGCTTACAAGGCAGTAAAAATGATCAAGAAATTGTCCATTATATTTTCTGGCCTTCTCTCCGAACTTTTCCTTTGAAACAAACACTGGATATGTGAGATTCTTGGACAACTATGTCGGCACTGAAAAATTACCTGGTGCCTACTTTTACACTTTTAGAGAATGTAACAGGAACAAATATGAGAAGGAAACATAATATAAGTCAATTTGTGATTATCTAAATCAGCTCTGTCCAATAGATACATATGAACCACATAATGCAGTTTAACATTTTCTAGTAGCCACATTTAAAAAATAGAAACAGGGCCGGCCGAGTGGCGCGATGGTTGGGAGCTCGCTTGGGACGCCAGAGGGCCCCGGTTCGGATCCCACATATGAGGGCCAGTGACACTGCCCTCTACAGCTAAGATGCTGAACAACAGCTCAANGCACTTTCACTATATATTATACATACCTACCTACACACACACACACACACACACACACACACACTCTCTCTCTCTCTCTCTCTCTCTCTCTCTCTCTCTCTCTCTCTCTCTCTCTCACTTATCTAGACTACAGAGTAGGTGCTTCTAATTTTTGTAAGATACGTTATTCAAAATCAGAGGTGGAATATTTTGTTGCTTTAAATAAAAATACTGTATTGCAGCAAAAATTACTTAAGCTTATTCAAAGTGAAGACCTTTGATAGGAAAACAATTTAAATTAATATTTTTGGTAAAATGACCCAAAAACTGCCCATAAAAGACAATTTTTCTCCCACAACTTTTACATCGCTTAAAAATAATCAGATAAAACAGCTTTAAACATGGTAATTTATTTTATGCAGTTGTTTAAATCCATTGTTTGAAAACGTTCAAAAGGCACTTTAAAAAATATATTTAAAAATACATTTTTCTGACTTATCGGTGATCACTTAAAATAAGCAAGTCACCAGACATTTTTAAACCATTCATGATACTATTACCTTACATAAATTTAAATTCCAAAACACAAACATTCACTGTGTAATATAGCACACTGCTTAGCAGTAAGATTAGTTTCCCTCTAATAATATACTTTATATGAATTATTAATTTGCAGGGCCATGCAAAGTTATTTAAACTTAACTAATATAAACTGAAAACTAGAGAGGTAAAGGAATTGAAATAGAACACTAGTTTTAGAGTTGGCTTCTCTATAGAGAATTTGTAAAATTTTTAATCTGTATTAAAATTTCTATTTCAATTCCAGTATATAAACATGTCATTTTTTAATCAATAGAGGTTACATTTAGCATAAAATAAACCACAGATGTCCCCAGATTTCTTTAGTATGGATACTATCAGCCCTACTATAAAAAAAGTAGAGAAATGAGGCAAATGAGTTAATTTTTGTTTGTTTTTGAGAAAAGTAGGGAGGATGGGGGGGTCGAACCCAAGTAACTTTATTTCATTTAATAATTTGGTACCAGAATTAGTTTAAAATTGTAGACTTTTAAGTAGGGCAAGTATCCTAAGAGCCAGTGGGCATTATTCTTAGACAGATTTTTTAAATTTCTAATCTCATAGGGAAACCTGAAGTTAATAGGTATAAAATTATCAGTGATACAAATTCTAATCACTAATAACAGCTAAATCAACCTTGTGAAGAGAGAACTAAGAGTAGTAAGAAAGTGGAAATTAGTTATAAAGAAAATAAAGAGGTCAATAAATATAAAGCAGCAGAAATTGTCAAAGACAGAATACTCTAAAATGAACTGAATATTTAAATGGAGAATAAAAGGATACACTTGATCTTATCATTAGAGGGATTTTTTTCAAGCCTCAATCTGGTAATAATATAGTTTGATAGGCTCAAGGAAGTGAAAAATTAATACTCAAGAAACAATTATGAAAACAACCAGTTAGCAAATTTAATGCTCAAATCCAATTACCACATTTCAAAAAATACTAAAAATTGGTCAGTGATTTATTTTGAATCTTCTTACAATAGTAACAAAAACTACTCTGAAATTTAAGGTATTTGAAAACAAATAACTGAACTCTGGCACAATAATCTGCTTTGTATCATCTATGAAATTCCCAACTGAACATATAAGTATGCTGTTATTGGAGAACATAGATAGCAAAAGCCTTATGTTTTGAGACCACAAAATCATTTATACAATGACAAAGATCTTAATTTAAAAGGTAAGTCATTAATTATCATCACGAAATCTGGTTTCATGTGCTCTACCAAATAGTTGGCAAAATTTTTTTTACTTTAATAGGTCATATAGGACAGTCAACTGATTCTTGAAAGTGGTGAAATTTTGATAGTATGAACTAGCAAAAAAATCTGTATATTATAAAATAGTGTTTTGCTACCTCTATTTAAAATTGTTTACTAATAATTGTGGACATTGCTGATGACACTCATTTAGGTATGCTTTTAATGAATTAGTATGTACTTCCTAGTACTTAATGAACCCTTCCTACCCCAATGTGAAATTATTAAACTTTGAGAATTACAGATTTTACCGTGGGCCCTGGTATTAATCACTCTGAAGAAGCTAAAGAATTTTACCAAAATGAATGATGCACTGACCCTTTAAACCATCTTTAAAGTCTTTTACATTTAATATAGTTAATCTTGGACTACACTTATTTAAAATATGCTTTATCTAAATCTTTGAAAAATACCTTAACTATGGGGCAGTAATCCTCAGCATGTTCCAAGGTTCATCTGCATCAAAATCACCTAGATCTTAGGGCAAAGGTTCTCAAACTGGCATGAGTAAGACTCACCTGGAGAGCTGGTTTAAACATAGGTGCTAGCCTCCACCCCTCGAGTTTCTGATTCTATAGGACTGGAATGAAGCCCAGGAGAGACTGCATTTCCAACAAGTTCCCAAGTGATACTGCTACTGTGGGTTGGGGTCACACTTTGACAACCATTGCCCAAAGATGTCTGGTAAGAATGCATCCTAAGAATGCATCCTCCTGGGCCACATGCTAGATTCAGGATTTCTGGGATTGGGGTCCTGAAATCTGCATTTGAAGAAGCTCCCAGTCAAGAGTATAAGAACCACAATTTGAGAAGCACTATGACACTTTGGTTAATTTTACTATTACTGGCCACTGTGTCAGATGTCACATGTCAATAAGCAAAAATGGAAATAATGCTAAATAACTAACTTCAAGGCTGACATAGTACAAAGAACACAGTCTTTGAGTATAAATCCTAGTTGTTACTTATTAGCTTTGTGACTGTGGAAAGGTTACGTTAATTCTCTGAGCCTCAGTTTTCTCATTTACCATATGGGAATAACTCCCAATTTGTGAGGATTAACACTAATGTACACAGAGTATCTAAGCACAGTACTTAGCATACAGTAGGCATCAAATAAAAACTATTACTTATAAGAAATGTACAAACTATTTCCTTCAATATCTGATTTGATTAAAGCAGATTTTTTTATTCATGTAAAACAAATATTTATACTCCAAGTTAACAGAATAATAAAACCTTATACTTATTGCTCCATACTCTGGGCCAGTGTTCTAAAAGCCGTACATATATTCACTCATTTCATCCTCATAAGAGTCCTGTGAGGTAGGTAGTATTATTGTCCCTAATTTACAGATGAGGAAATTGAGGCACAGAGAGATTAAGTAAATTGCTCAAGTTTACAAAACTAGTAAGTGACAGAGCAAGAATTTAAGCCCAGGCAATCTGACTCCAGACCCCAGGATTTATCACAATGTTAATTTCCTATGAGCAAATTTTAAGATTTTTAGATGTTTATGACCAACCATTTATTCTTGTAATATGAACTCAAATTCACAACCACATCAAGGTGAAGAACTGTTCAAAGAATAGAATAAATGCCCTGAAATCTTGGCAGATGATACAACCATGAAAATAATAACAAACAATGGAATAGGTAAAAATTGGTGGGAGTTTTTTTACTATGTGGAAAGG